CTATTCGACGTAAGAATTGACATGTATTAGCCCAATCCTGCTCATTTTAAGGCATTTACGTCATTTTTGAGGTCCGTCGTCGTTTTGATTTTGGGCTTTATCTGCATTTCTTTTGGGTTCTAGCTCTCAAACTTTGGACCCTTATGAGTATTGTCTTAGGGGGAGCTTATTCAAGCAAATATTTCTTCAATATGTAAGAGTTAGGTTATTTTTGTAAAACTCTTTGTGGATTAGACATCTAACGCTTTTTACCTAGATTGACCTTAGGTCCCTTCATGCATTCATATCATACATGAAAAATTATTTTATGTAAAAATATTGGCTAAGTATGAAAAATGGTTTTTCAAAATAATCATTTTCTCAAGATAATTTTTGGCGGCTTTTATTCCTTACACATCAAAGAAGAAAACTTGATTTTATGGGATTTTAGTATGAAGTATATATTGACTTAATGAGCCATCATTTTTAGCTTAAATCGTATTTTGCACTAAAACCGATTTTTCATATTTTGATTTGGTGGGAATTTGATTTTCTAGTATTTTTATTTGAATCCAAATGGGGGTTACTTCCTTATTTACATTGTAAACTTAAGTAAATGGAGTAATATAAAAATAAATGAAAGTAAAATGACAAAGTCATTTACTTAAATGTTGAAAATGGAAATAAGGTAATCTGTCTGCTGTGCTGCGCTCTCTGGAGTATTTGATCAAGTAGTTTGTGGGCAATTTGTAGGGGTCAACATCTTCACCTCCAATGGTGGATTTCGGGCTTGCAGGGGTCAATTGACCCCTCTTGCCCCTATGTGGATCCGCCCTGGCTGCAGACCCACCCCATAAACGCAGAAAAGGAAGAACAACACTCACAAGGAGTTCGACTAGTGTTGTAGACGTGCCTACCAAAAATTCAAATTTTTATCTAATAGGGTTTTTCTTTTTAGGTTTATATGAGTTTTTGTTTTGAGGGCATTTAAGTCTATTCAAGTGGGTTTTTGGTTATAATTGAAAGTTTTTATAAAAATTGACATTGATAAATAATGAATATCATATCCATTATTCTGTTGTTATGGCGCATAATAATACTAAGTTGTTGCTATGGAGCTGCAACAACTAGTGCAGCGTCATGGCCTATAGCAAAGCCTAATTGCACAACGCATTGTGGAGATGTTGCCATCCCATACCCTTTCGGGATTGGACCTAACAAAGATTGTTACTTGGATAAATGGTTTCAAATAGACTGCAGGCACACCAACTCTACAACCTCAGCTAATTACAGCAGGCAAGTGCCTTTCCTCAAGAGCGTCAACCTGGAGCTGCTAAGTATTTCTCCGTTGGAAGATGGCAGGTTTAAAGATGGCAGGCAATCGGTTCGGGTTAAGAACCCTATTACTTTCTTCAGCTGCGAGGGAAAGGAAACTCGCCAACCCCAGAATTTGAAGGGCAGTCCTTTCATCTACCCTCAGAGAGACAACTCATTCATTGCAGTGGGGTGTGACTTCTTGGCCAGTATGAGCTCAGATTATGGGACTCTCACTGTATGCGGGGCGATTTGTCGAAACACTACATACGGCGACAATGGCGACTGCGATAAAGGTTTTGGCTGTTGCCGAGGTATTCTTCCAACAGATGAACTCACCTATTTTAGTATTGATGAGATACCAACAAATTCATCAACATCAGATGCAAAGGACGATTGCAAGTATGCATTTTTGGTTGATCAATTTTCGTTTGCGGAAAACTTAACGAATTTTCGAGACGTGAAGGATATGGACAGCGTTCCTGTGGTGCTAGACTGGAGGTTAAACGTACACGACTATGGTGAAAGATTCGGAGCAAAACCAGACCTGACTGCTGCTACTAACCAATCAATATCCTTTTGCACCAGTGGTTTGACTCCTGGGTACAATGTGATCCCGGTGATTTGTAACTGTCCGTGGGGCACGGAAGGAAATCCTTATCTTCTCCAACCTTGTCAAGGTACATTCTGGTTCAAAACCTTTTTGCAATTTATTTTCTTTTGTTATGTATAAATATATGTTTATCTTAATAATCTAAATTACTGATCTGTTATATCTCTATCAAAGAACGTAAAGTCACACATTGAAAACTTAAAAAAAATAAGTACAACACTAGTATTGGAAGTTTATTCTAGTACCAGAAAGTTTAATTAGTATTAATTATCTTTTCACCTTTTGATGAAATTTGAACATATGCGATTCTTATATGTGTGAGTTTGGACTGAAGCATATCTCGGGTCATCATCATTTCAGATATTGATGAATGCAAAGGCAGTAATGAGTGTGAAGTAGGCGATGTGTGTGAGAATTTTGTTGTGGGTTATAGCTGCTACTCAAATATAAGTGGCCGTAGATGTGCGCATTTTGCTTCGGGCCTTGTATGCCACTTCAGAACCACATCGGGTCGGGCCTCTAAAACTGTAATCCTAGCTATTATTTCAGGTATATAGTACTCCTAACTTCTTACATCTCTCAAAATAATAATATAAGTATCTTCCACCATGGTAATATTATTCAAAAGTTTTTTTTTGGTTACAGTGTTGTTCTAAATGTTTTCGTGTTTAGAAATGATAATCTATATAGCAAAAGGCAGAGAATGGTGAAACATTCAAAATACCAAAAAATGCCCTTGGTTAATGCAAACATTAAGAATTGAAATTATTAATGAAATGAGGATAATATGGTAAATTCACACTTTTTCTTATTTAAAAAAATTAAAATTAAAAGAAAATTCGGATAATAGATCCTATTTTTATGGAAAACAACTACCCATTATCTTTTTTAATTCTAAAATAATTTTTTTTTTTTTTTTAAAAAAAAGCCTTTCGCAGACGCGAAAGCGCGTGTGAAAAGGCTAGTGGATATAATTCAATACCTATTGATGCAGGTCTTGGCTCCGGTGTTGGGGTATGGTTACTACTCATTGGTGCATGGTTGGTACACAAAATCGTGAAGATAAAGAAAACCATTGCAAGCAAGAAAATATTTTTCAAACGAAATGGTGGTTTATTGTTAGAGCAACAGTTATCGTCTGGCGAAGTTAATGTTGACAAAATCAAGTTATTCAATTCAAAGGAATTAGAAAAGGCCACCAACAATTTTAGTATTGATAGAATTCTTGGTCAGGGAGGTCAAGGTACCGTTTACAAAGGCATGTTGGCGGATGGAAGAATTGTTGCGGTAAAGAAGTCCAAAATGGTGGACACAAGCATGCTCTCGGATTTCATCAATGAGATTGTAATTCTTTCACAAATCAACCACAGAAATGTGGTTCAAATTATGGGTTGTTGTTTAGAGACTGAAGTTCCAGTTTTGGTCTACGAATTCATATTCAAGGGCAGATTGAGGAATTCCCACTCACATGGGAAATGCGGTTGCAAATTGCCACAGAAGTTGCAGGAGCTCTTTCGTACTTACATGGAGCAGCTTCGGTTCCCATTTATCACAGAGACATCAAGTCTGCCAACATACTTTTGGATAGAAAATACAGAGCAAAAATTGCTGATTTTGGAACTTCAAGATCAATTTCCATTGACCAAACTCATCTAACCACACGTGTACATGGAACATTTGGTTACTTGGACCCAGAGTACTTTCAATCAAGCCAATTTACGGAGAAAAGTGACGTCTATAGCTTCGGAGTGGTCCTAGTTGAGCTCTTGACGGGGCAAAAACCAATTTCTGCAGTAACATGGTCACAAGAAAAAGAATACAGAAGTCTTGCCACATATTTCATTACCGCGATGCAAGAAGATCGTCTGTTTAACATTGTTGATGCTCGAGTTCTGAAGGAGGGATCTGAAACCGAAATCCAGGTAGTCGCTAACCTTGCAAGGAGATGCTTGAATTTTAACGGAAGAAACCGTCCTGCAATGAGAGAGGTTACATCAGAGCTAGAGGCTGTACAAATGTCAAGGAAACCTTCCATTAGTGCTGATCAGCAAAATTCTGAAGGGGTTGATTTTGTGGAAGATGATGCAGTTGGGCATTGGGATGTTGAATCACTTTCAGAAGTGTCGGCTAGCTACTAATAAAAACATGGGTTTATGCCATTGTTGCCATCTACGAGTTATAGTGAATTCCTTTTAATTGAATAAACTTTGTTTCATTTAATGTTGTTGAACACATATGTTATGTTTTTCTTATGATCTCGTTACTTCAACACTTGTACTTGGGAAAAAGAAAAAGAAAAAAAAGAAGCTTAATTTCGCGTATAAACCAAATTTCCAGCTATTTCCTAATTTAAAGTTGAAGCCCAAAAATAAAACTCAACTCCCTCCCATCCACTAATCCAACATTTCCAAATTTCCAAATTTCCAACATTTTCTTGTTTGGCTTGTCTTATCATCACTGGAAGCCCAAAAATAAAACTCAACTCCCTCCCATCCATTAATCCATCAATGAATTCAAAGAGATTCAACTAAAAAGATAATGGATGACGGTGTTGGAGACGTGGATGGAGGGTATGAGACTGTGAGGAAAAAGAGGGGGCTTGACACCGTAATGAAGATGAGGGAGAAGCCTTTCTAACAACTTTTCTGGCAAACGTTGCTAGAAGCGCTTTTAGCTCTTTAAGAAAGATTCGACTTTGGGTGCCATGAGGGGAGGGGGAATCCACCACCACCGTGGTCGGAACCCATTGGCAGGAAGTTAGAATTTTAAATTCATAATAAAATGGCTTATATATCACATATAGGCCATCGTTATATACTCGGTTTGGTTATCGAACTAGTTGAAGCCAAAATCAAAATTTTCGGTTTTTTTTCTATTCATTTTGGTTCGGCTCACTGATTTACCGATTCAAATTCCACCCCTATATATGCAATCGAATCCCTGAGTTTAACATTATCATTATCCATCTTTAGGTAGAAAATTAAAACCTCAAAAGTCTTTGTAAAAACATCAAAAACTCCGCCCAAAAAAAACATAAAAAATTCAAGGAGTTCCACAAATTTATTATTATTATTATTATTATTTTGCTTTTTCCGTCAAAACCCTTTAAAACCCCAAAAGCTCAAATGCATCTCACTCTCGCGAATATTACTAGTTCTGTCTTTTGTTTACCAGACCCCAATTCATGAAAATGGAGAAGTCCTTCACTCTGGTTCAGACAGTTGTCACTGCAACGGTCTTCTCTGCGGTTTCCGGCTGGTACTTTCCAGTTTTCTTTTTTCCCTTACTCTGTGTCACATTCTCGGGAGTCAGGTTCCCCAAATTCCTTTCTTTCAGTACCTGCAATCCGTTCAACCATTGCCCAATTTCTTTTTCGCAGGTACGGGTTCATGTTCGGGAGAGAATCTGCTCGCAAAGAGCTCGGCAGCTTGATCGACGATCTTCGCCGTCAAAATCCCAACTCCGACCCTCCACCACCACCTCATGCTTGAATTCACTGGGTTACTTTTACTCTCTCACTCCCAAAAATTCTATTTTTTTGTTTGTTTTGGTATTAACAATTTTAATTGGGTATGCTGAGTTGGGTTTGATTTGTATGTCCTTTAGTTTTGAAGTAATGAGTGATGATTACTAGTAACTGATGTTGGAAAATGTCATGAATTTTTCAGTGTTCTGATTTGGTGCCTTAAAATTGTAATTGATTTTGGAGTGAGGGAGAGAATGGAATGCCAAATTAAGAAAAAAACAAAACAAAAGAAGCTAAAGTATATGATACGAAAAACCTAATTGACCAATGGGTTTATAGGTTCTCTGTTTTTGTTTTGCCTGTTTTGCACTTTTTACGAACCAAACGTTTGTGATGACTGAAACCCAAAAGAAAGGATGTTTATAATATTCCTGTCAAGATAGAATGCCAACAGTTTGGTTAGTAGCAATGCTGATGGAATGCCAACACAAAAGGACTTCAGTATAATCTTTACAAAAAAATAAAGGACTTTAGTATAATTCCAGTGCTGCAACACAAATTTAAATCAGCTATAGGTTACTCATCAAGATTGTTACCTGCTGTAAACCCATCAACATGCCTCATCTACTTGCCTTATTGGTGAAATTTGATGATTTACATGACGATCGTGAATTGGAACCATATATTTGTGTAGCTGATAAAGATCGGTTTGCAGTTTGAACTGGTTCTTTAGTTTAGTTCGTTACTGCAATCATGATTCAGGGGATGATGTATCCGTACCTTCTCTTTGACAACCGTGCTTAATTAGAATAGTATTTGAACCTAGATGGTAGATGCTCTTCATGTCCCCATTTTATGGTAGATGTTCTTCCTGTGCCCCCTTTTTTGGAATGTAAGCTCATATTTTATTGTTCTAATATCATTTTCTCACGGTATCTTCAGGACATGAATGCATTGTTGTCTGAAGCTCAAATTTAAATCTTGATTCATGTACTTGTGGAAGTTTTATTTAGATTGTGACATATTCAGGTGCTTGGGTCAAGGTTGATGGCATCAAGTGGGCAGTGAGGAAGTCACTTTGATCCTTAAAGCTTGGAACTGAGAAAAGCAATGTCTGACGCCTTCATTAAATGCATTCCATTGCACCATATTTGGCGGTGTTTTCCATTCTTCTAACATTATCCTTGAGGGCGGAATGTGCCGTCCTGTATAGTTCAGATGATACTTCGAAACCTTTTGTATGCTGACTGACCTCTAAGATACTGATTTCTATCGTGAGATAGTCGTTAAATTATGAATGAACTTAGATTCTTCTGTTTTGAGTGCCGTTTCTTGTTCCTTTTAGTCTTTAGATGGGTTCTTCATAGATTTTCTTGTAAGGGACTTGTCTCTTGTGTTGTAATCTTCTTTCTTTTATTAATGAAAGCTGTTTTTCTTATTAAAAAAGATCTGAATGAATTTATATAAGGGAGTTTCACTAAAACACCCAAGATAGGGGCTGAAATTATAAAAAAACCCAACACCCAAAACACTTTATAAACACACCCAAAACCCATCATTACACACACTCAAAACCCATTTATAAACACACCCAAAAAATATACAATTGTTGATTTTGGGGTTGATTTTGGGTGTGTTTCTATGTTTAAATAGTGTGTGGGTTTTTTTATAAATACATGTCTAGGATTGGGTTTATTTATAATAATCTATTTATATAATGTAGTTGGTATTGGTCATGGATTTTCTCTGAATTAATGAGGCAGGGTTACTTTTTCGATCTGGCTTTGGTCCACCATCATGATGATTAACTAATGAAGATTGTTCTTTGCATTTTCCATGCAGTGTTTTCTTTAGTTTCCTGAAAAGCTAAAATCATCTTACAGCATCTCAGAAGAGAAATCGGCTACCCCATACTGGTGTGGTGTCTCTGCAAACTTAGTGGCTAAGTGGTGTGGTGTCTCTGCAAACCTAGTGACTAAGTGGTTGGGGTACGCGATTTAGATTCAGCTGTGTTATCAATAGTTGAAAGCTAATATTGAAAACTGCTGGAAAAGAATTACAAATAATTTAAATTTATGCTACATTTTCATTTGGGTAAAAAACAGTAGAACCTAGTAACCAGATAAAAATTTGGAAAAAGAAGAAACATTTGGAAAAATGATTATCCGTTGTCTAAAACAGACAAAAAAGAATCGACAAAAAAACACAGATAAAAATATGCATGGAAAAAATTATCCTCTCCACTTAGAAGAAATATTGTTCTATTGGTTTTGCTAAAGAGGCATATATGATAGGAATACAAATATATAATTCAGTAAGATAACAATATCTGATAAAAATTAAATAAATAGAAAAACCTTCATGTAGTGGCAAGAACCTGAGTTTACCATATAGACTGCGCCAGCCAGATACCCTTAAAAAACTCAGAAAAGACTGGGCTCAAGCAGCTGATCTAGAATTGTAGGAGGAATTCAGCTTTGGGTTGAGAAGTTGAGAATTTTCTATAACGATGCTCCTAATTTCAATTCTAGAACTAGAAAAAACAAAGAAAAATAAACATGATTTTCTCTTAGTTAATTTCTAAAAGTAAAGATGCTCCTAATTGCTCCTATTATGTCTATTTTTCTTTAATTATGTTGATCCGAATTATGGTTTTTTTCTAAATCAAATCCTCTTAGCCTACAGAAATCTTAGATCAAGGCAATAATAAATGGAAAGTTGTGAAGAGCAGAGGGAGCAGTGATATCTGTGTTAAGTATGCTTCTAGCCAAGATAGTTGAGAAGGTTTCTAGCTAGTTAAAACCAAATGGAACTATCTAGGTGAAGCATAATACACAGCCACAATAATTCTTTTCAGGGTAGATGGGGGTAAAGGTCCAAAAAAATAGTAGCATACTAATCTCGGTTAGGTAAGGCAGCTTAGTCCTTAAATAGATATAACAGAGACTGAGGAAGGTGAAAATCTTAGGTACAAATTTTCATGTATGTTTGAAAAAAAAAAAGGAAAAACAGAATCAGGGTTGAGAGTGCAACTTACTCGAACCCAAATCCAGACCACAGCCGAAATTTGCTAATCCTAGGAGCTGTACTTGCTTTATACTCCAAAAGCCATGTGTGCATCCATTTTCTCACATAAACTTTTATTGTTGAGTTTATGTGTTCCTTTGTTTCCAACATTCTGTGAATCAGAACATTTTAGTTTGAGTCTTCCATTTCCAATAATATAGGTATATTGAGGCTATAAGAAAAGAACAGAGAAACTGATGAGAATATTCAAAGTTCTTGGATGTTTTTATGCAGAAGCAAAAGGGCTTTAGCTGCATATTATTATTTAACACACTGGACTTACAACCATTTAAAAGAGTCATCCAAACATCCCCTAAACTAAATTAATAATACTTGGGTTGAATGAACAATTACTGGCCATTCATGTATGGAGACATATGCAAGGAATTTTTTTTAAACCATCTTACATAATCAGCATCTGATGCCGATAATGGTGTTTGCATATAATTATACTTCTCTCTCTCTCCCACTCTATTTTACTTCTCTTTTCTCCTCCTATATCACAGTAATTAAGCTATACTTTGTTTGTACATGAAGATGCACATAAATAATTTCTAAAATATCTACACAAGAACAGTTTCCTTTGTTTTCTTGACTTTCTTCTCTTTGATGAAACGAACGAAGAGGTTGCTCCCGGTAGTGTCACATTCTGACAGACTTCTGTTCCGGCCACCTTCTGCCATGCCTCTCACAAATTCAACCATGTTCCTCCAGTTGTCCCCTTCGAACAATCTCTTGTTCATTCGGAGATATGTAAATGCACTTAGGGCATTGCCGGAATCTGATCTACTTGTTGCCAAAACTTGTTCAAATGCACCAGTATCATACCTCTCCAATGCATTCTCTCCTGCAAGGTCAATTCCAGCACTCTTGGTTGCCATTTTTACCTGCCGGACTAGCCCTTCTGGTGAGCAATTTGCATGTGCAGGCTGTTCTCTGTCTTTCATTTCCATGCAGGTAAAGTTTAATACAACCCCGTTTTTGCTGAACATTCTGGCTGTTGGTAGGTAACCGTCTCTATGTCTAGTGTTGTAGTAGCCAGCAGTTAATTCAGCCGCATGTGATCTTGATCCATAGTGCCAGTGAATCCCAGCAATTTTTCCAGATAGTTTAGCTCCAGATCCTTGGAATACTCCTTTCGCAGCTGTCAGTATTCTATCGCCGTGTCTGAGTAGCTTTCCGGAGTACCATTCCAGGAAAAACTGTCCATACTCAGTGTTCCAAGTTCCATCTCTTTTGAAAAATCTGGTTTCTTCAGGAAACTGATTGTACTGGCCGGCATCGTTGGGTCCACTTCTTCCCCAATCTCTCTTTCCCAGTGCCTCTGCTGATGCTTCCAGGGAAGCTCTCATGTACTGTACCACATAAAAGCTTGTTCAGGAATGAAAAATATACCAAACATTTTATCAAATTATGATGTGGTTCTATTTAGGGTCATTTTACTGGGTCAACAGAAATGGATAAATGCCTTTTGTTCCCAAGAATTACCTTGTCATAACATTGGAATTCTCCTATTCCAGGAAACCTCCAAGTTCCATTGCTTTCTGGATAAGCTGGATATCTGAGCTCCCCACAAGGACCCATCCCCACTTGAATTTCCTGCAGAAGTAGTTGAAATTGAGTTTCTAATTTTGAAACAAGTTTCTGGAAAAAATGACTTTAAATGGAGAGAAAATATTGATTGAATTAGTAAGTTCCTCTTATCCAAATTGGTTTTGTTCTGTTTGATGATTTTTTTCTCTCTTTTTTGGTGGAACACAAACAGAGATCTGTTTATGTCTAGCTTTCTGAATTGTTGATTGCCTAGTACCAAAATAATAGCATCAAATGGACTTTAACTTGTTTATTGCAGATGCTTACCACAATAACATTGCCCAAGTAATCTCTGAATCTGTCATGGAAGCTTCTCATGTAGTCGGTGTAAACCTGGATCGGTGTTCTTCCTCCGAGAACAGGCAATGAATCACATCCCAAGGATATGTACTCAGGATTCCTCCTGCCTGATTTGTCTGTGTAAACAAGGTCAGGGTTCTTGCTGACTTCTTCTAGCACCCATGGAGGTAGAGGAATGCTGAAAATTCATAAAATTGATGGTTTAGTAAAATGAGAGCATAAATCCACACCAACTGGAGATAGATAACTGTTGCAGAAACATAAGTATGTACAGAGTTTCTTGAGTCCTAGGTAATTAATGACTTAGAGAGAGTCTAATTCCAAAACACTATGCAGGTAATAGACTATTAGTTAGGGATGTTTTGGAGTGCATCAGTAGGAAGCAACTTTGCTTATAAGCGCTTTTATGAGAAGCACGAAAAAGCACTTCAGGAATTTCAGAAGAAAAAAAAAACTAAAAAGTGCTTTTCTAAATTCTAATCCAAAAGCACTTATAACTTTTATTCTGTCAAAAGTGATTTTGGTTATTCTGAAGCGCTTTTAGCCATCCTAAAACCACCTTCAAACATCTTTTCACCTTTTACTAAATCTCATATAGAACAATAAACATGAAATAGTGCAATTAGAGCCATAAACATACCTGCATGAGTCTCCAACATTTCCTCCACACTGATGAAAAGACATGACAACTTGGATCTTCAAGCCATGCTTCTGCACCATCTGCACAAGCTCAGCATACCCTTCCCAGTTGTACTTGGAAGGCCCATCTTTCTCCACCAATCCCCACCAGGCATCCACCATAACTCCTTCAACTCCTGCATTCTTCAAGGCCATCAAACTAGCATTCATTGCTCTTGGCTTGTTCAAATGCCCTCCATGGCCCACTGTGTCAAGTGGAAGCATCACGTACACAGGCACCTTGGAACCATTGCTGCTGTGAGCAATATTGGGGAGTGCATGAAGCATCTCTCTCCTTCCATCGGCGCCGGCGGTCAATAAGGTCTTTTCGAGCAAGAGCTGCGTCTCTTGCATCGAACTCTTTGCCCGGAGACGGCATGTTGGCTTGATTTGCGCATAGCAAATTGTCCCAGAAGACTCATCAGAGGCTTTTAGGCTTTTGTGGTCATTAAGATTGATGAAAGAAGTTGAAGAACGCAGAGTTAACGTCATTTGATTTCTGTAAAAGTGTTTTGAAGGGAAGAGAGCGAAAAAAGTGATGAGATTGGATGAAGGGGTTGTTTGTCTATTTATAAAAACACATTCCCTCTTGATGTTCTTTGAAGGAGATAATGCTGGTGGGCTCTCTCTCTTTTTTTTGTTTTTTTTTTCTTAGGCCGGTCTGGTGGGCTCTAGTTGAAAAGTG